CCCCCCCCCCCATTGCACAGGTGAGCAAACCAGGGCTTGAGGAAGGAAATCACCTTCCCAAGGGCTCACGGTGACGTTTTCTCAACCCCCACCCCGTCTCTCCCCCTCCCAGGGTTGCTTCGAGCACATCAGCCATGCCATCGACAGCTACACATGGGGCATCTCGTGGTTTGGGTTTGCCATCCTGATGTGGACGGTGAGAGGTGGGGAGCCTCTGGGCTAGGCGGGATGTGCGTGTGGGGCTGGAGCGCCCCTCACTCCACTGCCTCCTCCTCCAGCTGCCTGTGATGCTGATGGCCATGTATTTCTACACCACGTTGTGAGGGACAGGAAGGCCACATGCACGCCTCGGCCTCTTCCTCCTCCTGTTCCTGTCTCCTCCAGCCGTGGACTGGATGGCTGCCTCAGCTCTCCCCTTCCCACCTCCCTCAAGCTTCCCTCCTTCCTCACCAAAGACCTTTTCCCAGGTTTCTGAGCCCTGCCGGGACTTGGAGGTGCCCTGAAACCCTGGGACATGTGTGCGTGGGCCCTTAGCCCTTGACGTCATTTCACTTTGCTGATTCCTGGCCCATCTTTCAGTGTTAATTTCAAGTCCTGTCCTCCGGGGATCCTTCCGGGATCCCACCCACCCCATCACCAATGCCTCTCTTATAGCTCCCCAAGCTCCTCCTTCATGGTAGATGTTGGCACTCATTGCTAAATAGTTTGGGGTTGTTTATTCTCTGGTGGACTAGGGTCGCCAGAAAGAGAGGAACAAGCTCTGTCATGGTCACTGTATTGTCCCCAGCATCACCCAGCAGAGGGCTGAGCGTGGATATTCAATAAATACTGGTTGAATGAATTAATTTGCTTTCTTGTGGGGCAAAGACAAATGAACAATAACTCTTCCAATGGAAGTGGCAGAAACTCAACTGGCACTGACTGAAACATAACATAGAATTTCTCGACTCATGCAACTGAGTCAGTATTGCTGGCTTCAGGCATGTCTGGATCCAGGGGTTCAATCTAAGTTTCAAGGAAACCTGCTTCATTTGCAGACAGACTTTCTCATAGCTAAGCAACACAGCAGCAAGAGAGGCCTCTCTCCCAACAGCTCTACCCAAGGTCAGGGATTCAATCTCACTGTCTTACTTTAGAGTCTAGCCCATC